GGTGGGATTGTCGACGAAGCAAACTCATATTTTCTATGCCAATCGAATACATTACTTATTTTCCGTTTATTAGTGGGTTGTCATGACAACCAACAGACTGGACATAGGAGCTGTATTCACCCTATTTTCTTTAAGAATATGAATATAGGAAAGTTGAAATCCGTGAAATTCCTTAAAATCCACTTCTGCCCTGTGGCCCAACGGCCCTCGTGGCAGTGTGGCCTAGTCGTTAATAATTCGAGATCAAAAGCTGAACTTCCAGGACTCGAGTACCGCTGAAGATGATGATCCGAACAGTTCAGGCGAAGTCGTAGCTGCAGTTCGGTCCAGTCTGCGAAGGGAGGTGATGTAAGATTCAATGGAAGGATTAGTCTATTTATAAAGGAAAAACAGCAAAATTTTTGATTCCATAAACTTTGTGAAGGACCACACTACAAGATATTGTGGCATATATTCACTCTACATGACTCCCTAATTAACTCGGCAGAATGAATCGCCGCAGGAAAATGCATTTGGGCTAGCTTGCTCTCTGAAAAATAGCTTAAGACAACGATATTAATAGTATGTATGATCACAAAAGGGTATCGTTTGCAAGACATTTTTATGAGTCCTTATTCCGAAGGATTCAGTAAATCTAACAGACAATGCTGCCTCACACCAATATCTTCATAACGAAGAAGAGCACGCTTTAGCGAGATTTTCTAGGATGCCTTACTTCGCAATGATCAACTTGCGACCTGGAACCACCTTAAAATTTGTCTAAGATTATACCATCCACGCGCAATTTTACTCTCTTAATTATAAAGCTTGGCAATCAAAAAGCCAAATTCCATGATAAGATGCAAGTCTTGAACTGTAGCAATAACGTCTACACACGATCATTGTTTTGAAATATAGCGAAATAAGCCTACTCCGGCTAAGGACAACACTCTGGCTAGTTGCAACGTGTTAGCCACAATTCAGAAAGATTAATTTTTCTAGAAGTTCACCTACTTGGCGACTCCATTCAGGTAAAGCCTATGAACACGACCGTCATAGAGAATGACTCCACTCCCCTTTGTACCTGAATTTGATTATGTAATATACCATTTAATACCAATTACTAGCAGAAAGATGAGATTAAAAGCATTTGCATTGCTATTAATCAGCTAGGCGCAATGTCGTTCTGGCCAACTATGTAGCATGCCTACGAGCAAATAAAAGTACAGCGCACATGTTCTCTATCCCTTCCGAATAAAAATTCATAGAATTCTATCAAAGTGCACATCCATCCAGCCTACACGCAGTTCCGGAAATTTTAAGGATCAAAATTAGTTCATTTAATTAAATTGGCACAGCTTTAAAACTGTCGGCTAATCTGGCGTGTCGCTTACTGATAAAAGCTGGTCAAGATGACATTTATGGATGACCAGATTTTGCCAAAGCATTCCATTGTAGCCTAAATTCCACAAGATATTCGCCTCGCGTGTGGTTCGCCGTTTCCACTTAACCCTGAACTCTACAATAGCAATTCCAAATGGCTCATTTGCTAGGCTCTGTATGACAGGCACGTCCTCTGTGGACAGGCCGCAAACCTTGATCGTGTGCCAACATGAATTTGCATCTTGCGATGCCTCTACACTCGAACAGCGGAAAGTCGTGATACAAAGCATGCGCATAAATCACGATCATCCGGACATTGACAAAAACATGAAGGATTCATGAAAAAAACAGAAATATTCGTCGGAATGGCCCGATTTCCTTGATCTACCGAGGTCACCAGGTTTGGTTAGCCAAGTCAAAAGACCCTTGTCACAAGTTACTAATTACCAAGGCTTTAATCCTGAGCCAATCTTCCAAAGATAAACTGTTCAGAGATTTGATCATTCGAGTTAAGAACCAAATTCTCCTCCAGAACGATACAAAATACAGTTGACCACGTTCAACACTTTCCTATTCACAAAAGACAGAGGATGGGAGAAAAGGAGGGAATACCCATTTCACTATTTTGTTCTGGTAATCTTAGACAGGTTACAACTCACCGGAGTGCTGTGCCGTCCAATCCACGAGTGCAGGTCGTAGCCCAGTTCATTGCCCAACCGGAAGATGTTCATTACGATGTAGGTGTCGCCGTCAAAAAAGTTTCCGTGGTCCTCGGGCGGCACCTCGACAACTTGGAAGTTCTTAAAATAGAAGCATTAAAATAAGTAAAAGAGAGTTGCCTAACCAATCAAAGCCATAAAGCAAAGTTCTTATTAACAAAAAGCATTGTTGTGCTGACTTTCAATTTGTATGAAAGTGCATAAAGAAGAGATTCAAAGGTTGATCCCACCAGAAGACGACGGATTTTCCTTATGCACTTTCATATGAAATGAAATTTCCCCAACCTTATTGTCTCAAAAGAGTCATCGAAACACAGTTACTCTTTATATCTATGATAAAAAGCAATCAGTAATATAAGATGTCTTCACCCTATTTCGTTTAAGGTGATGAAGGACTGGTAGTAGAATTTTCCCACAATCATATGAGTAGAGCTGACGTTTCCATTCAATTTCACATAGCCTTGTTTTCCCAAAAGTTGTTCTCATCCAAGGTGGACTGCAGTTTCGACCTCGCCTCGGTCTTATCAACACCCCTAGCTGGAGTTGAACCGTAACAGTGCAGAATGTGAGCTTGCCACGAGTGCCCTTGGGTGAAAGGGCAGATGTCCA